GCCACATCGCCCTTCAGGGTCCCGGGGTCTCCGCTGCAGCAGCAGCAGCAGCAGCAGCAGCAGCAGCAGCAGCAGCAGCAGCAGCAGCAACGGCAGCAGCGGTGGCAACAACAGTAGCTTTAGTAGCAAGCCGCCTTCCCTTTGAACTCCGAAAGGCCTAAACTGCTAACCAGCTCTTCTTCTTTTGAAGGGTTTAGGGTTTAGGGTTTAGGGTTTAGGGTTTGCGGTCGCTCCGCCTGCGCCAGTGTCGGCAGCGGTCAGCGGTCAGTTGAGGGTTTAGGGTTTAGGGTTTAGGGTTTGCGGTCCAGTTTCTTAGCAGTTGTGGCAGCAGCAGCAGCAGTAGCAGCAGCTTCAGCAACTGCGGCTGCAGCAACTGCAGCTGCAGCACTTGCAGCTGCAGCAGCAGCAGCAGCAGCAGCCTAGTAGCAGCAGCAGCAGCAGCAGTAGCAGCAAAGTAGCAGCAGCAGTGCCGGCGCTCCGAACTGTCAGAGCAGCAGCAGCAGCAGCACCCGCTGTGGCAGCACCGGAAGCGACAGCACGCGCAGTAGCAGCAGCAGCAGCAGCACTAGCAGCAGCAGCAGCAGCAGCAGCAGCAGCAGCAGCAGCAGCAGCAGCAGCAGCAGATGGACCCCTTTCAGGGCCCCCCCGGGGGGGTTCCCGTAGGACCCCAGTCATTTGAGTCTCCAGGGTTGTGGGCGGCCCAAGCCCCAGGGGGCGGCCTCGAGGTGCTCTAGGGTTTAGGGTTTAGGGTTTAGGGTTTGGGGTTTAGGGTTTAGGGTTTAGAATGAGGCAGATCTGAGGGTTATTCTGCGGAGAGCTCTCTCGGGGTCCAGTGGTGCTCGCGTGTCGCTGGTTCGTGGCGCCCAAAGTCTAGGGTTTAGGGTTTAGGGTTTAGGGTTTAGGGTTTAGGGTTTGCGTGTCAGGGGCTGATAATATCTGCTGCGCGGCGCAAAGACGCAGCAGCCTTCATGTCTCTGTGCCGCTCGCTGGCCAGCAGCAGAGGAGCAGCAGCAGCAGCAGCAGCACTGCAGCAAGTTTTCGCGCTGCACTGGGCCGCCTTTTTAGGGTCTGAGGCCCTCATAACGCACTTGGTTGCGGACTTGGGTTGTTCCCCCTCCCAGCAGGTGTTTAGGGTTTAGGGTTTAGGGTTTAGGGTTTAGGGTTGGGGTTTGGGGCTTGGGGGGTGTGCGGTCGGGCAGGGTTTAGGGTTTAGGGTTTAGGGTTTAGGGTTTGCGGCGCGGGGACGGGCTGAGCGCTTCGGCGCGGCCCCCACCTCCTAGGGTTTAGGGTTTAGGGTTTAGGGTTTAGGGTTTAGGGTTTAGGGTTTAGGGTTTAGGGTTTAGGGTTTAGGGTTTGCTGCTCAGGAAGTGGCATCTTTGGAAACCCCAATTTACTTCGCAATTAAGGCCGGCAACTTTTTGGCTGTGCGCTGCCTCTTGGCTTTGGGGGGGGGTTCGCTGCTGCAGCACCAGGTAACCCTAAACCCTAAACCCTAAACCCTAAACCCTAAACCCTAAACCCTAAACCCTAGTTGCGGGCTCTTGCCTTCGGCTTTGGCTTCTGGCTGCAGCTGCAGCCGCTCGAGCGCCGAGACGCGCGGGCTGAGGGTTGGGCCATGGGGCGTCGTGTTCAGGGTTTAGGGTTTAGGGTTAGGGTTTAACCTTAGGCTCTAAGTCCTTAAGGAAGCAACAAGGGCCGGAACATTCAACAAAGCTGGTGGAGGAGTTGTGTTTTCACTGCTTGGGATTTAGGGCTCAGGGTTTGGGGTTTAGGGTTTAGGGTTTAGGGTTTAGGGTTTAGGGTTTAGGGTTTAGGGTTTATTTCAGGGAGTATCTCTAGAGGAGCAAGACGAGACTGGGCAGACGGCGCTGATGTGGGCAGCCCGGCGAGGGTCTTTGCCGATAATTCAGTGGCTGCTGTCGAAGGTAAACCCTAAACCCTAAACCCTAAACCCTAAACCCTAAACCCTAGGAGTGCCCCTCCGCAAACCCTCGCCTTTGAAGCCCTCGGGGGCCCCACACGGCAGCCGCTGCTGCGCCCCCCGGGCGCAAGGCCCCGGGGCCAGCCGCAGGGCCTAGGGTTTAGGGTTTGGGCTGAGGGTTTAGGGTTTAGGGTTTAGGGTTTGGCGCGCAGGGGGCGAACCTGAACCACCGAGACCACCTGGGAGCCACGGTGCTGCATGCATGCGTCTGCGGAGCTGCAGCAGAAGAGTGTTTGCTGTTTTTGTGTCTCAAGGGGGGTTTGCTGCTGCTGGGGGCCCCCTACTGGCCGCCGGGGGGCCCCCCTGCTGCTTCAGTACCCTCTTTGTGTTTGGCCCGCCGCATGCATCTTCTTGCGGGGCTTCTTTGGGCTTATCAACTTCAGTTTAAGTTCTTCAAAAAGACTAATTATGTCAAGTCCATTTACGCGGTCCTTTACTGGCTGCTGTCTTCCTCCACGCTGCTGCTGCTGCTCTCCATGGCCGCCTTCCTCACCAGCAGCAGCAGCAGCAGCAGCAGCAGCAGCAGCAGCAGCAGCAGCAGCTTGCTGCAGGCGCTGCTCGCACTCGCTCTCTGGGCAGCAACGCAGGCCCTCTGGATCGCCACTTTTGCTGCCGATCCCGGGATCGTCCCCGGCAGCCGCAACAGAATCAAAGACCAGTTCGCCTCCGTAGACCCGTACGGCCTGCTGCTGCTGCTGCTGCTGCTGCTGCTGCTGCTGCTGCTGCTGCGATCTGCATTGCTGCTGCTGCTGCTGCTGCGATCTGCATTGCTGCTGCTGCTGCTGCGATCTGCATTGCGGCTGCTGCTGCTGCGATCTGCATTGCTGCTGCTGCTGCGATCTGCATTGCTGCTGCTGCTGCTGCGATCTGCATTGCTGCTGCTGCTGCGATCTGCATTGCTGCTGCTGCTGCTGCGCTCTGCATTGCTGATGCTGCTGCTGCTGCGATCTGCACTGCTGCTGCTGCGGCGGCGGGAGGAGCTGCCGGCTGCTGTGTCTGTCGGTGGTGATGCTGCAGCAGCAGCAGCAGTTGCTGCTGCTGCTTTGAAAACACCTGTGCTGCGGTTGCTGCTGACTTGCTGCTGCTGCTGCTGCTGCTGCTGCCAGGCGTTTCACCAGAGAAGTTTTGACTACCATTCGGTGGCCGATGGGACCCTCCTACGGGCCCTATCACTCTAGGCTTGAAGAAATCGATCGGTAGGGCTTAAACTTGAGGGTTTAGGGTTTAGGGTTTAGGATTTAGGGTTTAGGGTTTAGGGTTTAGGGTTTAGGGTTTAGGGGCAAACCTTTCTAGCGCCCTGGAGGTTTTCTTTCCCCCCGCATCCCAGCAGAAGATCGCTTGCCGAAAAAGCGAAAATCCCCTTTCTTGCTCAGGGTCCAGAATGTAGGGTTTAGGGTTTAGGGTTTAGGGTTTAGGGTTTAGGGTTTAGGGTTTGGGCTGCAGGAAGACGCTGCTGACGAATCTTTCGCTGTGCGAGCTGAACGCCTCCGTGCGGCTGCGGGGTTTGGCCGAGGGTTTGGGAGAAGAGGGGGTTTACGTGACAGCAGCAGAAGACGCGGAGTTTGCTGCAGCAGCAGCAGCACTTGCTGCGCTGCGGGCAGCAGCAGCGCAGCTGCAGCAGGGCCTTGCTGCTGAGCGCCAGAAGCGGCTCAGCCAGCTGTACGTACACTCCATTCTCCAAGGAGATTCGGATTCTCTCAAACAGATTTGTGTCACTTGTAATATTCTGAAACCCACTCGCGTCCACCACTGCGCAGAATGCGCACACTGCCTCCTGTGAGCTCCTGCTGCTGCTGCTGCTGCTGCTGCTGCTGCTGCTGCTGCTGCTGCTGCTGCTGGGGCTGCTGCTGCTGCTGCTGCTGCTGCTGTTGCTGCACGGGCGCTGCAGCTGGAGCGGCTGCCGCACTAGCTGCTGCTGCTGCTGGAGCCGCTGCTGCGTTCGCTGCTGCTGGGGCGGCTGCTGCACTAGCTGCTGCTGCTGCTGCTGGAGCTGCTGCTGCACTGGTTGCTGTGGCTGCTGCTGCTGCCGCTGCTGCTGCGGGCTGTTGCATTTGCTGCTGCCTCACGCTGCTGCTGCTGTTTCTGCTGCGGCTCACCTCCTCCCTCCGCCTGCTGCTGCCGCTGCCGCTGCTGCTGCTGCCGCTGCCGCTGCTGCTGCTGCTGCTGCTGCTGCTGCTGCTGCAGGCGGCAGGACCACCACTGCATGTGGGTGGACAACTGCATTGCTGCTGGAAACACTCGCCAGTTTGTTTGCTTTTTGACTTTCTTGTCTCTTTCAATTGTCTCCTTTTCTTCGCTCGCCTGGCAGTACGCCGCCCAGGCCATCACCCAGCCGTCGCAATGGGTGAGGGTTTAGGGTTTAGGGTTTAGGGTTTAGGGTTTAGGGTTTAAGGTTTGGGGTTTAGGGTTTGGGGTTTTCGGTGCGGCGCGACGGCTTCGCACGGCCTGGGGCTTGCTGCAGACGTCTTGCATGCGGATAGCCTGCCTCCTCTTGCCCAGTGTTTAGGGTTTAGGGTTTAGGGTTTAGGGTTTAGGGTTTAGGGTTTGTGTGCAGCTGTGGCTGCTGCTGACTCTGGCCCTGGGGGCCTCCAACCTCGCGTGGCTTTTCTTTGCTGTTTATTTACTCCTCCGTACTGGCCGCAGCATTCTCTCCAATGTGACTTACTTCGAATTCCTCAAGAAGTAAACCCTAAACCCTAAACCCTAAACCCTAACCGCTAAACCCTAAACCCTAGAGTAAAGGCATTAAACGTGCGTTCACCAGCTGTCCTCCAGGCTCACAAACCCTCAGCCTGTGTCCCGCGCTGCCAGGGGCTTCGTGTAGGGTTTAACACTCGCTAATTGTGGTTTAGGGTTTAGGGTTTAGGGTTTAGGGTTTAGGGTTTAGGGTTTGCGGTTTCCAGGCCGCCGCATATCGTGCGGCGTTTCAAAGGAAGAACAGAAGGATGGTTGTGGGATCTTACGGGCGTCTCGTTACCCACCATGATAAAGTACGATAAGGGTTTAGGGTTTAGGGTTTAGGGTTTAGGGTTTAGGGTTTAGGGTTTAGCGCTTAGGTTTTAGGGAGAGGGCTCCTGCGCCTCAGCCTTGCGCCTACGTCCTGACTGGGCACAGGGAGCAGCTTGCAGCAGCAGCAGCAGCTTGCAGCAGCAGCAGCAGCAGCAGCAGCTTGCAGCAGCAGCAGCAGCAGCAGCAGCTTGCAGCAGCAGCAGCAGCAAGTGCAGCAGGAGCAGCAGTTGCTGCCTCTGCGTCAACGCCCTCCTTCATTTTCCGTCCTACTCTCTAGAGCGTCTTTTCTCTGTGCAAAAGCCCCCAAAAGAGTCAGGGTTTAGGGTTTAGGGTTTAGGGTTTAGGGTTTAGGGTTTAGGGTTTAGGGTTTAGGGTTTGGCTTCAGGAACGTGTTCTGGTTCTGGAGGAATTCGCCGAAGCTAGATGAGGTGTACATACATCCCAACGATGGCCCTGCTTCGCAGCTCCCTGAGGCAAGTGCCAAACCCTAAACCCTAAACCCTAAACCCTAAACCCTAGACCCTAGTGCGTCAGCGCCTTTGCTGCCTCACAGAGTTGCTGCACTGCTGCATTGCTGGGCTCTGCGCCTCCAGCTCCCTGCCCAGGCCCCGGATCTAGGGTTTCGGGTTTAGGGTTTAGGGTTTAGGGTTTAGGGTTTGCTGCTGCAGGTCTATGACTCCAAATTGTCTTCTCGCTCCTACCTGTCCCAGCCGGGCCTCTTCAGTGCAGAAAGGCTTCTGGGGGGCCCCTCAGGGTCTAGGCCTGGGAGAAGGGGGCCCCCCTAACCAGGGGGCCCCCCTTACCCATGGGGGCCCCCTGTTCCATGGGGGCCCCCCTGACCCATGGGGGCCCCCCCTGCTGTGCCCTCTGACCCAGGGGCCCCCCTGAAAAGGGTGGACTTTGAGGGGCCCCCGCATGCAATTCACAGGGGGGCCCCCTGCATGCAACTTAGTAATGGGGCCCCCTACATGCAAATGATCTCGTGGGGGGCCCCCTCAGGTCAAGTGCCTCTGGGGGCCCCCTGCATGCAATTTATCTGTGGGGGCCCCCTGCATGCAATTTATTTATGGGGCCCCCCTGCATGCAATTTATTTATGGGGCCCCCCTGCATGCAATTTATTTATGGGGCCCCCCTGCATGCAATTTATATATGGGGCCCCCCTGCATGCAATTTATTTTCAAGGGCTCCGCAGCTGCCCAGGTGAGAAGACAATTTTGGAACTTTGGGGCCCCTAAGGGCCCCAAAGGGGCCCCATGTGGGGCCCCTGGGGGGCCCCTTTGGGGCCCCACAGGGGCCCCCCATGGAGCCCGCAAGGTCTAAACAGGGACTCTAGAGGGGCCCCATGGGGGCCCCCAAAGAGCCAAATAGGGAATCTTTTGGGGGTCTTTTAAGGGGCTAGAAAAGAGCTCCAGTGCGAACTCCCAAAGGGCCAATATGGGGTCCCAAAGGGCCCCTTGGGGGCCCCCCGGGAGGCCCCCGGGGGCCCCCAGGGGCCCCCGGGGGGCCCCAGGGGGCCCCCCGGGGGGCCCCAGGGGGCCCCCCGGGGGGCCCCTTGGGGGCGCTCAAGGTCACTTAAGGGGCAAATGCCCGTCTTATTGGCTTAGCCTTGCTTGGCCCTGCTCTTCAGATTTTGCTCTGGTGGGATGCAGCTTGCTGGCTAGCTAGCCAGCTAGCTAGCTAGCTAGCTGGCTAGCTAGCTGGCTAGCTGGTGGCCTTTGCTTGGGTAGCTAGGCTGGCTAGCTAGCCGAGGCAGCAGCTAGCTGGCCAGCTAGCTGGCCGGCTAGCTAGCTGGCCCGACGCAGCTAGCTGCGAACCCTCAGAGCCAGCTGCGGCCCCACAGCTTGGCTTGCTGCAGCAAGACAGCCAGCAGCAGGCGGGCCGGCTGGCTAGCCAGCTAGCTGTCCAGCTGGCTGGCTAGCTAGCCAGCCAGCTAGCTAGCTAGCTAGCTAGCTATAAAACCCACTTCTTTCTTGTTCAGAGAACGACCCAGAGAGGCCTTAACCCTCCTAAGTTATATGCCACATGCTGAGGGCTGCTGCGAGCCAAACCCTAAACCCTAAACCCTAAACCCTTGAGTGTCTGGCGCTGCAGCTGCTTCCATTTAGTGGGGCCTTGCTGGTGCTGCAGCGCGCAACGCTGGCAGGCCTGGGATCGTGTGGGATCGTTTCCGGGGATCGATCCCACATCGATCCCCATAGTTAAGCTGCAGCCCCAAGAGCGGCCGCTCAGCTAGCCAGCTAGCTAGCTAGCTAGCAACAGCTGCAGTAGCAGCTGCAGCAGCGAGCTAGCCACGGCCAGCTAGCTAGCCGTGGCTAGCTAGCTACGGCCAGCTAGCCACACCAGGTGCCAGCTAGCTCTAGCTAGCCACAGCTAGACGCAGCTAGCTAGCCGCGGCCAGCTAGCCACAGTAAGCTGCGGCTAGCCATGCCCAGCTAGCTGCGGTTAGCTAGCTAGCCAAGCCGGGACACTGGAAGCACTGCTGCACTTGAGGCTAAACCCTAAACCCTAAACCCTAGACCCTAAAGATGAAGAAATAGAGGCAACTGGAAGCTGCTGATTCTGAAATAACAGCTCCTAAACCCTAAACCCTAAACCCTAAACCCTAAACCCTAAACACAATACGCTGAACCCTTGACTGCAGCAAAAGTTCGACTGAGGCGCATGCAGCCCCATGGCCCGCCAATCAGCCCAGGCCTCTGATCTAGGGTTTAGGGTTTAGGGTTTAGGGTTTAGGGTTTAGGGTTTAAATTTTAGGATTTGGTGGTCCTACATTACATCTAGACCTCAAAATGATTAGCCCAGCGTGAGGTGTATAGACACCTCGAAGGAGTTTGCTGCCTGCACGAGCGGATCGTGTTCTTAGGGTCTAGGGTTAACCATTTAGGGTTTAGGGTTTAGGGTTTAGGGTTTAGGGTTTAGGGTTTAGGGTTTATTTCAATCTCTCCCTGCTCCAGCAGGAGCGTATAACGCTAAGCAAGCCGCGGGTGGTGGCGCTGCTTCGGCTGTAGGAACGCCGCAGCAGCAGCAGCAGCAACAGCAGCAGCAGCAGCAGCAGCAGCAGCAGCAGCAGCACGAGCAGCAGCAGCTTCTGCTGCTGCATCGTCTGCAGCTGCCGCTGCTGCATCGGCAGCAAGACCTTTCCCCAGCCCTATCCGGGCAGCACTGAACAGCAGCAGCAGCAGCAGCAGGTGCTGCTGCTGCTGCTGGGCTTGCTGGGCCCAACTGGAGAAGATGTTCGCGCTGCAGTCCCTACCTTGCAGAAGCTGCTCCTGTGCATCAGCAGCAGCAGCAACGGCAGCAGCAACAGCAGCAGCAACAGCAGCAGCAACAGCAGCAGCAAGTGCAGCAGCAGCAGCAGCAGGTGGTCTGCCTGAGCAACGGGTTTTCCTTCATCATGTGAACGCAGGAGTCTCTACAGAGCTGCCGCTGCAGCAGCAGCAGCTGCTGCCGCGGCAGCAGCAGCAGCAGCTGCTGCTGCCGCGGCTGCAGCAGCAGCAGCAGCTGCTGCCGCTGCTGGGGCTTCCGTTTGCTGCTGCAGCTCGCCGGCTGCTGCGGCACCGCGTGTCGCAGTCAGCAGCAGAAGCTGCTGCAGCAGACAACCCTGGGCTGTACAGACACTGGCCCCACCTGCTGCTGTACGCCCCCCCCCTCCCCGCCGGCGCAGCAGCCAGCAGCAGCAGCAGCAGCAGCAGCAGCAGCAGCAGCAGCAGCAGCAGCAGGCGGGACCAGCCGCCGGAAGTGCTGGCAGCAGCAGAAGAGCAGCTGCTGCTGCGCGGCAGCTGGGCGGGGAGGCCCCTGGCAGACACCCCAGCAGCAAATTTAAAGCCCCAAAATAAAAACGCATGCAAAGATTTAATTCACCTTTTGATGCTGCAGGAGGTGAAGAAGCTGCAAAAGGAGAGAAGCTTCAGAGTCAGCTGCTGCTGCTGCTGCTGCTGCTGCTGCTGCTGCTGCCGGTAGCGGCTGCTTCTTCTGACAGTAGCTGCTGCTGCTGCGGGTAGCATTTGCTTCTGCTTATAGTAGCTGCTGCTGCTGCTGCTGCTGCTGCTGCGTCCCGTAGTAGTATTTGGTGCTGCTGCTGTTTATTGCAGCGTCTAACTCCCAGTTAGCAAGTTGCTGCTGCTGCTGCTGCTGCTGCTGCTGCTAGTACTTGGAGTTGCCGCTGCAGCTGCGCTGAGCCATCTTACGGGCTGCTGCTGCTGCTAGTTCTGCTTCTGCTGCGGCTGCTGCTCAGCCCGCCTTACCTAAGCGCTGCTGCTACTGCTGCTGCTGTTGCTGCTGCTGCTGCTGTTGCTGCTGCTGCTGCTGCAGCTGCCGCATTTTGGCCCTGGAGATTTGGTCGAAGTGCAATACGAGTTAAGTCGCTCGCAGCAAACCGTCGCCACTTTTCAGGGTGAGCTGAAGCTCCAAGGGTTTAGGGTTTAGGGTTTAGGGTTTAGGGTTTGGGGTTTAGGGTTTCGGGTTTAGGTTTAAGGGTTTAGGGCTTCCGGTTTGCTGTTTTCCCAAGCGCTGCTTCTCTGCTTCCTCTGCTTTCTCTTTCTATCCCCGCAAACCCTAAACCCTAGCTTGCCTAAACCCTAAACCCTAGCTTTCTTAAACCCTAAACTGTAGCATTCCTAAACCCTAAACCCTAGCGTTTCTAAACTCTAAACCCCCAAACCCTTGCCCGTTTAAACCCTAAACCCTAGCTCTCTTAAACCCTAAACCCTTGTCCGCTCAAACCCTAAACCCTAGCTGGCCCAAACTGAAAGCCCCCGCCCGCCTCAAGCCCAGGCCGTGGGCCCCCCAGCCCTGGCCCCCCCAAACCCTAAACCCCAAACCCTAAACCCTAAACCCTAAACCCTTTTTGCTGCAGGCTACGTGGTGAGCATGCGGCAGCGGTCTTTGAACTCTTCAGTGGTGCTTCGAAATGGAGTTAAAGGAGTTGCTGTGGAGCAGCGGATTCCCCTGTTCTCCCCGCGGCTGCTGTCTTTCAAGGTACTGCAGCAGCAGCAGCAGCAGCAGCAGCAGCAGCAGCAGCAGCAGCAGGATGGGGCGGGGGGATGGAGGGGGAGAGCTGGACGCTTTTTTGGTTTGCAGCGGGGGAGCAGCAGCAGCTGCTGCCTGTCGTTTAGGGTTTAGGGTTTAGGGTTTGAGCAAAAGGGTTTAGGGTTTGCGAGTTGAGCCTCTTGTGCTGGCGCAGCAGCAGCAACAGCTGCTGGTGCTGCTGCGGCAGCAGCAGTTGGGTTTCTTCACCACATCCTGCTGCCTCTGCCGTACATCCCTGCTCCCCTCGCTGCTGCTGCTGCTCCTGCCCCTGCTGCTGCTGCCGCTGCTGCTGCTGCTGCCGCTGCTGCTGCTGCTGCTGCTGCAGGTGCTGCGCAGCGCAAGCAGCCCCAGCCAGGCCTTCGTGGCTTCGCCGCCGCCGCCGCCCACGAGAGACTACAGGTACAAGTGGAAGTACAATGTGCGTGGGAAGTATGAGCGGCGGCGTGGGACGCACAAACCTGGTGCGTTTTTCGTTTCTTTTTCTCCTTTTTGTTCTTAAAATATAATTAATTTGAGTTTAAAATGCATTTATAAATGTTTAATTGAAAACGGGACAAAAAACGCTTCAAACGGCGCAGAAAAAGCAGCTTTTTAGCGGGTCTTCCTCGGGTGTACGTACACCTGAATTCCCCGCCGCGTGCGGGAGCTGCATGTGTGAAGTCATTTTTAAATTTCTTTTTGAGATAATTGCTGGCGCGTAAATGCAATTAAGAATATTATAATTAAATCTAATTTAATCCAATTTTTTGCAATTAAATGCACTTTTAAACGCTACTAACGGGCTAAGTTGGGCACAAGTACCCCTGGAGAGGCAGCAGCAAAAGGCAGCAGCAGCAAAAGGCAGCAGCAGCAAACTCGCGGATGTCAGCTGGGCAGACATGCAAAGACCAGCAGCAGCAAAAGAGCGGCTCAGACGAAGCTGCTGCTGCTGCTGTTGCTGCTGCTACTACTACTGCTGCTGCTGCTGCTGCTACACTGCTGCTGCTGATGCCTTTCTTGCTGCTTGTGCTGCCGCTACACTGCTCATACCGCCGCCGCCGCCGCCGCCGCCGCTGCTGCTGCTGCTGCTGCTGCTGCTGCTGCTGCTGCTGCTGCTGCTGCAGGTGTGCGGACTGTGGAGCACCGGCTGCGGTCTCGCGTGTCTTCGCTGCTGCACCGCTACATGCGGCAGCGGCTTGCTGCCAATCTGCCGCCTTACGTTTGGGGGGGCCCTTATCCGCGCCTGCGGGAGAAAAGGACAAAAGAGATCCGCGGCGAACTCTACAGGAGAATGCTCGTCTACTCCTTCGTGCGCTGCTGCTGCTGCTGCTGCTGCTGCTGCTGCTGGGGGTGCTGCTGCTGCTGCTGGGAGTGCTGCTGCTGCTGCTGCTGCTGCTGGGGGTGCTGCTGCTGCTGCTGGGGGTGCTGCTGCTGCTGCTGCTGGGGGTGCTGCTGCTGCTGCGGGGGGTGCTGCTGCTGCTGCTGCTGGGGGTGCTGCTGCTGCTGCTGCTGCTGGGGGTGCTGCTGCTGCTGCGGGGGGTGCTGCTGCTGCTGCTGCTGGGGATGCTGCTGCTGCTGGGGATGCTGCTGGGGTTGCTTCTGCTGCTGGTGTTTGACGCTCCTGCTGCTTCTGCCGTTGCTGCTGCTGTTGCTAGTGCGCCTGCTGCTGCTGCTGCTGCTTCTGTTGCTTCTGCTGCTGCTCGCGCTGGTGCTGCTGCTACTTTGCTGTTGCAGTCAGGCTGGTGCAGCTCATGCTGCTGCTGCTGCTGCAACAGCACTGCGACCTTCCCTGCTGCTGTTACTGTGGCGTGCCTGCTAGTTCAGCTGCTGCTGCTGCTGGTGGACTTTCTGGCAGGTTCCTGCTAAGCACTCGTTGCTGCTCAGAGCAGCATCAATAGCTGCTGCTGCTTCTGCTGCTGCTGCTGCTGCTGCTGCTGCTGCAGGATGAACAGCGGCGGAGACAGGAGCGGCTACGCAAACGTCGGGAGAGCCACAAGTTTGGGGTGTATAAGGTGGGGCTCCAAACTGCTGCTGCTGCTCCTGCTGCTGCTCCTGCTGCTGCTCCTGCTGCTCCTGCTGCTCTTGCTGCTCCTTTCGCTTCTGCTGCTCCTGCTGCTGCTCCCGCTGCTCCTGCTGCTCCTTGCTTGTTGTTCCTTTGGTTGCTGCTGCTGGCTGCACTGCTCGCACTGCAGCACTGCAGCTTTTACTGCTTATCATTCTGCTGCTGCTGCTGCTGTTGCTGCTGCTGCAGCTGCGGAGACACCGCGCGACCGCTCTGGAGGTGCTGCCGCCAGACCATCCGCTACATCCGTCTAATGACCCTCCCCTGACTTGAGCTGCAACAGCAGCAGCAGCAGCAGCAGCAGCAGCAGCAGCAGCCGCAGCAACATCAGCACACTGTTGTTGCTAAGCCATGGATAACGGCAAAAGCAGCAAAGCTTAGCCAGAGCTAGCGAGGACAACAGCAGCGGCACTTGCTGCAGCTGCGATAGAGATGCTGCAGCAGCTGCAGCGGCGGTGAAAGAAGCTGCTGCAGCGGCTGCTGCTGCAGCAGAGCCTGCTCCTGCAGCAGAGCCTACTGCAGCAGAGTCTGCTGCTGCAGCAGAGCCTTCATTGACTTGCTGCCTGCTGATTTGCTGCAGCTGATGGGACTACGTATGTTCCAACAACAGCAACTTGCTGCGATCATTTGGCCAGTCTGCGTGTCGGTGCTGCTGCTGCTGCTGCTGCTGCTGCTGCTGCTGCTTTTAGGTGTTTGCTGCGTCTCCAGTTCACTTAAACGGAGGTTCTGGTGCGTGTCCGTATACCCCAGCAGCAGCAGCAGCTGCTGCTGCTGCTGCTGCTGCACGTGCAGAAACTCCAGCAGCAGAAGCAGCAGCAAGAGCAGAGAGGCTTTGTTAGGAGCTGCAGCCCTTAGTGAGATCGAAGCAGCAGATAGTAGCCATTTTCGTTTGCTTCCCCAGCAGCTCAAGCTGCGCTGCTGCAATCAGCAGCTGCTGCTGCAGCTGCTGCTACAGCTGCTGCTGCAGCTGCTGCAGCTCAGCTGCAGTTGAAGCATCTGCAGCTGCTGCTGCAGTTGCTGCAGCTCTTGCTGCTGCAGAGCATGCGCATCACCCTGAAGCAGCAGCAGACTCACTGACATCGCAGCAGAGTTGCTAGTTGCTACTATTGGTGCTGCTGCTACTGCAGCAGCTGCTGCTGCTGCCGCTGCTGCTATGCAGAGCAGCTGTTGTTGATGCTGTTACGCAGAGTGGCCGCTGCTGCTGCTGCATCCCCAGGGCCCTGAGCAGCAGTAGCAGCGCGGCCTGCAGCAGCAGCAGCAGCAGGCCTTGCGGCTGCTGCTCGGAAGCAGCAAGATAGTTTCTTTTTGCTGCTGCCTTCCTGCCCCTGTGTCTCTACCTCTGCAATTTATAATTCTAAAAGTTTGCTGCTGCGCTGCTCTCCTGCTGCTCTCTTTGCTGCTGCTTAAAAGCGCATTTCCTTAAAAAAAGATCCGTTTCATGCACAGCTGCTGCTGCAGCGCTTGCTGCAGCTCTTGCTGCAGCGTTTGCTGCAGTTCTTGCAGCTTCTGCTGCAGCTCTTGCTGCAACTTTTGCTGTAGCTTTTGCTGCAGCTCTTCTTGCAGCTCTTGCTGCAGCTCTTGCTGCAACTTTTGCCGTAGCTTTTGCTGCAGCTGCTTTTTTGCTGCAGCTGCTTTTTTGCTGCAGGTGCTGCAGCACTTGCTGCAGCTTTTGCTGCAGCACTTGCTGCAGTTCTTGCTGCGGCTTTTGCTGCAGCACTTGGTGCAGGAGTTGCTTCTGCTGTTTTCATGTGCTGTTGTTTATCTTTGCTGCTGCAGCGTTTAGCTGTATATGCTGCCCGCAGCAGCAGGTGCAGCAGCAGCAGCAGCAGCAGCTCCCTGCAGCAGCGGCTTCAGCTCCTGGTAAAAGCTTTGGCAAAGGGGGCCAAGCCGCTGCAGCAGCAGCAGCAAATACTTGTCGTCGTGTTCCATTTGCTGCACGCTGCGGTGAATGGAAACTGCCTGCTGCAGCAGCAAGCCTGCTTCTGCCGCTGCAACCTGCGCAGCATACGCGAGGCTCCAGTCTTGCTGCTGCTGCTGCTGCTGCTGCTGCTGCTCTCCTTGCTGCTTCTCGTGCTGCTGCAGCAGCCACTGCGCCTCTGGGAAGTTCTTCAGGCCGCTCTTAAACCATCGGTTCAGGACATGGCGGGGAGGCACAGCGACGCGGCACTGCTTCCTCTGCTGCTGCTGCTGCTGCTGCTGCTGCTGCTGCTGCTGCGGTTTGCTGCTGCAGTCCAGCAGCAGCAGCCGGCGCAGCAGCCGCAGGTACTCCGGCCCCTCGGCCGCGAGCTGCAGCAGCGCCCGCTGCACGCAGCTGATCCCTAGCTCATCCTCTTGTGCTTGCTGCTCGTTCCCTGCTGCCTGCTGCTGCTGCTGCTGCTGCTGCTGCTGCTGAGACGGAGCAGCCGTGGTGGGGGCGGACCTGCTGCGGAGCTCGGGATTGCTGCTGCCGCTGCTGCTGCACACACTTGCTGCAGCAGGTGTGTCTCTTTCAGCTTGTGCGAGCTGCTGCAGCACAGCTGAGCGCATGTCGATTCTGGCGCTGCTGTTGCTGCCGCTGCTGCTGCTGCTGCTGCTGCTGCTGCTGCTGGCTGTTGGCAGCTGCAGCGGTCGCGGCTGCTCTTGCGGCTGCAGCTGCTGCACTACTTGCTGCCGCAGATTCAAGGAAACGCTGCTGCTTGGCTGTGTAAAGCCTTGAGTGGCCTGCTGCTGCTGCTGCTGCTGCTGCTGCTGCTGGATCTGCTGGAGCAGCAGCTGCTGCCTGACCTGACGCTGCAGCAGCTGGCGCTGCTCTCGGCTAGACTGCAGCACCGGCTGCGCGTCTGCTGCTGCGCCCTCAGCAGCAGCAGCAGCAAAAGCAGCAAAAACAGCAACATCAGGGTTGTCTTGCTGCTGCGCGTGCAGCTGCTCCGCTGCTGCTGCTTCCGGGGCCAGCGCCACCCACAGGTTGCTGCTGCAGCGATGTGCTGCAGCAGCAAGCAGCAGCAGCTGCTGCTGCGCTGCACCCAAGTCGCTCGCCCTTATAGGCGACACTCCTTGGCCAGCCAGCTCCACAGGGCTGCCACCCCACACCCGTGCTGCAGCAGCAGCAGTAGCAGCAGCGGGGTGCATGCAACTTCTGCTGCTGCTGCTGCTGCTGCTGCTGCTGCTGCTGCTGCTGCAGACCTGGTCAATGGCAGTCAGCAGCAGCCGCGACAGCCGAATCAGCTCCATGGACTGCCACAGAGCCTCTGCAGCCGTCGTGAGGGGGTCAGCAGCAGCTGCTTCTGCTGCTGCTGCTGCTGCTGCTGCAGGGTCTGCTTCTGGTCCTGCTGCTGCTGCACCCCTGATGCCCACTTGTGCACATAAAGGAGGCCAGCTGTCTTCGTCGATGCTGCTGGCATTTGCTGCTGCTGCTGCTGCTGCTGCAGTCCCACTTAGAGGAGTGCTGCTGTCTCTCCACGCTGTGTACACCCCATGCTGCTGCTGCTGCAGCTTCTGCTTCTGCAGCTGCTCTTGCTGCTGCTGTTGCTGCTGCTGCTGCTGTTCCTGTAGGTACTGCTGTTGCCATTGCTGCTGCTGCACCTGCGGATAGTAGTTCATAGGGTAGCCCTCAGCAGCACCTGGGAAGCCCATGAAGTAGCTGCTGCGGCTGCTGCTGCTGCTGTTGCTGCTGCTGTATGCGGCCCTGCTGCTGCTGCTTCTGGGCATGTGTGCTGCTTCCGTGTCTGCTGCTACACTTGCTGCAGTGGGCGAAGAGGCGTAACTTCCATAAGCTGCTGAGCTGTGCTGCTGCTGCTGCTGCTGCTGCGGCTGCTGCTGCGGCTGCTGCTGCGGGCTAGCATGACTGCTGTGAGGCACGAAGCTGCCGCTGCAGTAAAATGGCTCCCCTCCCCACGCAGCAGCAGCAGCAGCAGCAGCAGCAGCACGCCCTGTTGCTGCTGGTGCAGCCCCACCACCAGGGGATGGCCTCATCGGTAGGCACTACCCTGCATCAGCATCAGGCAAAGCTGCTGCTGCTGCTGCTGCTGCTGCTGCTGTTGCTGCTGCAGCACGAGCCGCCTGCGCTGGCTGCGTCACTGCTTCCTCTGCTGCTGCTGCTGCTGCTGCTGCTGCCGCCTCTGCGAGACGGCAGCTGGATTTACATCTGCAGCGCAGCAGCAGCAGCTGCTGCTGGCTCGGCTGCAGCCGCAGCTCGTCTGGTGGATGTACACCCAAAAGTTGCAGCAACCACTGCTGTTGCTGAAGCTGCTGCTCTTGCTGCAGCAGCTGCTGCTGCTGCTGCAACAACTTTGCTGCTGCTGTCTCTGGAGCAGCTGCTGCAGCTGCTACTGCTCGAACAGCAAGGGCTGCAGCTCCTGTGTTTTTATCTTGGGCCCCTATGTCCTAAATTCTAGTCCATAAACCCTAAACCCTCAACCCTAAACCCTAAACCCTAAACAACCATTCGTAGTGGGACAGAACCCAAGAGAATCCAACTCAAACGACTCTGGCCAGGAAGGAGTTTTAGGGTTTAGGGTTTAGGGTTTAGGGTTTGGTGCTCAGGGCCTGTGTAGCTGCAAAAGGAAGTCAAAATAATATATTCGTAATTTTTGGTAGACTTGCTGTTGCTGCTGCTGCTGCTGCTACTGCAGCTGCTGCTGCTGCTGCTCGTGCTCTGGGGGCCCCCATCTCCTTCTACCAAACGGGGGCCCCCCGCTGCGGGCTTTGTACCCTGCTGCCTCCAAGCTAGTTCATTTATTAAATTATAAATTAAAAACTGTTTACAAAAGGGTATTTTGTTTGGTATAGAACATAAAATTAATAATCTAAACGCGGCGAAGCCCCCAGCCGCACGCTGAGTGGAAGCTGCACCGCGTTGAGGCGTATGTACACCTCACGCACCTTCCCTCTTTAGTTAAGAAACGCTGCAGCCATTAAATCTAAAATAAACTTTTAACTCTTTTTGAAAAGACTTTATACTTAGCTGCTTCTGCGCTGCTCTGGAGCTACTCTACGCCGCTGCTGCGCTTGCTGCTGCTGTGTTTGCTGCTGCTGCTCTGGCTGCGGCTGCTGCCTGTACTGCTGCTGGCGGCTGCTGCTACTGCCTGTAGTGCCTCTGGCCGCTGCTGCAGGCGCTTCTTCGTTTCTGCTGCTGCTCCTCCACTTGCCGCTGCTGCTGCTGCTGCTGCTGCTGCTGCGGTTGTGGCTGCTGGTGTTGCGGCTGTTGCTGCTGATTTCTGCTGCTGGTTCCTCCTGCGCGCTTGTGGCTGCTGTCTCTGCAAGTGCGGCTGATCCTCCATCGCTGGCACTGCTGCTGCTTCACCTGCTGCTGCTTCACCTGCTGCTGCTGCTGCTGCTGCTGCTGCCACCGCCACAGCTCACAACCCCCTGCAGCAAATGGAAGGGCCTCAAGAAACCTCCGGGGGCTCCCAGCTGCTGCAGCTGCCGCTGCGGAGGCACCACACCAGCCCAGTGGTAGGGA